AAGAGAAGAGAAGAGAAGAGAAGAGAAGAGAAGAGAAGAGAAGAGAATGGGATAGGATAGGATAGGATAGGATAGAAGAGAAGAGAAGAGAAGAGAAGAGAGTAGAAGAAAAAGAATAGAAGAGAATAAAGAAAAGAGAACAGAATAGAAGGAATAGAATAGAATAGAATAGAATAGAATAGAATAGAATAGAATAGAATAGAATTCTTTATTGGCCAAGTGTGACTGGACACACAAGGAATTTGTCTTTGGTGCAAATGCTCTCAGTGTACATAAAAAGAAAAGATATATTCGTCAAGAAGATTATTATGTGTATTATCATTATTACTATCAGTATATCTGGGTTTTTTTTCTTTTGTAACATGAAGTGCCTGGACAATACACCGTCTTCAAAATATCTATATGTACAAATAAAAAAGAATTACAACCACAATTGAGCCCAAAACCTCTTGTTGCTAAGCGAGACTAAAGCGGTTAGGTGCATTTTGCCCCGTTTTATGACCTTCCTTGCCACATTTGTGAAGTGAATCACCGCAGCTGTTGAGTTAGTTGCACCTTCCCCAATTGAGGCTGTTTGTCAGATGGTTGCAAAAGGGGAATCACTGCAACCGTCATAAGTACATGCCAGTTGCCTGGATTTTGATCATGTGACCATGGGGATGCTGCCGACGGTCGTAAGTGTGAACAACGGCCGGAAGTCGCTTTTCCCAGCGCGCACTGTAAACTTCAGAGGGTCACTAAATGAACTGTTGAAAATCATAGAACAGCTGTGAATTGTATCATCTCTGCCCTTGCACAGGCATAAGCAAACCACTGCAAACATTTTTTTTTCCAGAAGATAAAACTCTCAGCTGCGTAGGACTTTGTAAAGAATGGCTGAGTTTCCTTATCACGCCCCCATATTATTTTATTAAAAAAAAAAAAAAGCAGATTAGCTAGAATGTCCCTTGACGCCTGCATTTCTATAAGCAGGGATTTTCTTTCTTTCTTTTTTTTTTTTTTTTTTTAAAAGTTAATATCAGTGGTGGAATTCAAAACTTTTTACTACCGGTTCTGTGGGAGTGGCTTAGTGGGCGTGGCATGGCTTGGTGGGCGTGGCAGGGGAAGGATATACTGCAAAATCCCCCTTCCCTCCCCACCCCACGAACCTGCTTTCCAGCTCCGTTCTCCTGGGCAGGGCAACCCAAGGAGACCCAGCCAATCCGCTGGGACTCAATGGGGGGGGGCAGAAAAGAGATGGGGTTGGCGGGGCCAGTCAGAGGTGGCATCTGCCGGTCCTCTGAACTACTCAAAATTTCCGCTACCGGTTCTCCAGAACCGGTCAGAACCGGCTGAATTACCACCTCTGATTAATATGCAGCATTGTGTGCCAAACCGAATTAAAACCCACGCTTTTGCTGGAGGCATCATTTCTGTTTGGCAATGTGTGTTTTCACGCAGTAATGGTCAGCTGTTTTGGGGGACTCTGGACTTGAGGGCTATGCAAGTTGTGCCTGCATTTAAAAAAAAGAGAGAAATTGACTGAATCTTACTAAATACATGGGTTGCAGCTGGGGAAGAGCGGACAAGTATCTTAACAAAATAACAGACTTAGAAGGGCCCTTGGAGGTCTTCTAGTCCACCCCCTGCTCAAGCAGAAAACCCTATACCATTTCAGACAAATGGCTGTCCAATCTCTTCTTAAAAACCTCCAGTGATGGAGCACCCACAACTTCTGGTGGCAAGCTGTTCCACTGATTAATTGTTCTCACTGTCAAATTTCTCCTTAGTTCCAGGTTGCTTCTCCCCTTGATTAGTTTCCACCCATTGCTTCTTGTCCTGCCCTCGGGTGCTTTGGAGAATAGCTTGACTCCCTCTTCTTCGGGGGAGCCCCTGAGATATTGGAACAGTGCTATCGTGTCTTCATACGACTAGACGTATCCAGTTCCAGCAACCGTTCTTCATATGTTTTGGCCTCCAGTCTCTTAATCCTCTTTGTTGCTCTTGGTTCATTTGTGCTGGGCCTCAGATCAATGGAAAGGCTTAACAAGATAGGCAGCGATCCAGAGTCCATTAACTGAACTCAGTGTCCCAAGTGATATCATTACATTTTTTCATTTTTCGTGGGATTTCAACTTTCCCAGCTGAGATAAGACCTGCGTGGGTTGGAGGGCTTCACCGTTTAATCGGGAAGGCTGAGGTTTAAAAACTTTTGGCCAAGAATGTAGCAGGCTTGATGTTTTAGTCAACCTCCCTTCAGCCTATCTTATCTCCGAAAATGAAAATAAAAAGTGTTTTTTTTTTCTTTGCCCCAGGACATTAGGATACACCTTAATGAGGAAATAAAGAATTTAGGCTCAGAAAGAATTCGCTCATATCAAGCGATGTTGATCTGGAGCGTAAAATTGCTGTAGGAATTAAGCATTGGGAGGAAATTAAAACAACAGAGGTTTGGAAGAAAATGTCTTTGCAGAGATACAGAAGCATAAATAAATAGGTGAAGTTTATAGGCTTGTAATGATGTTTATGGAGGGGGAATCAAAACTGTCCACTATTAAAAGCAGCCGAATTTGGAAAATTGGCCAGTGGGCATTTGAAGGTTCTGATTTTGACTCTTCCTGGACTGGTAACTTTTCATTTTGGGTGAAATTAAGAGAGCGAGACCGATTAATCCCCATATAGAAGAGATTAAGGCTATTATTGAGAAGTCAACAACTGAACGGTTGGGCAAATGGTAAAGATGCCCTTATTTTAAAAAAAAATCTTTAAAATCATCAGCTGGCACAGAGATCCATCAACAAATGCTTTTCCCATGGCATTTGACCTTCGGGGAACAGCATCTCGGCTGAATTTAGAGTTGCCAACTTTTTGATCTGGGGAAAAATTGCCTCGGGGCGGTGAATCTGGGCAGGATGAGAAGAGCCACAGAGGGAGTTTCTGCCAGAAAGAGTTTTGCCAGAGCTTCTGGTTTTGGGGGAAGGCATCTCTGTCTTTTGGTCTTTTGATAAAGAAATGGTGTTTTTAGCCATGGGAATTGTGTAAAGATGGGTTTTATTTACCTTTGGTTATCTTGGTAATGCTGGTGATAAGAAGTACATTATATTTAGAGAGAGAGAGAGAGAGAGACAGAGAGAGAGGGAGGGAGGGAAGGAGGGAGGAGAGGGGAGGGTGTCTGTCTATCTATCTATCTATCTATCTATCTATCTATCTATCTATCTATCT